ATCGGTAGAAACTTTAACGCGCCCATTACTATATAATGGAGGTGGCGAAGACAAGAGGGAGAATTCCAGGGGTAACAACAGCGGAGCACTGTATAAATGATACGTAGACTGCACCCCCATAGCTAAGTGCACTCCCCCCCCCTCTCTCTTGTTGTATTTATATATGTGCGACGCGATCCATGAAAACAAGGAAATATACGTGACTGTGTGTGTATGTATGCGATGGGAAACAGGAAAGAAAAACCCTCCAGTAAATCGGTCCCAAGGGAACGCATGCAATACGCTTTGTACACTGATTATATACCGTTTTGGTTTAAGCAAACACATAATATCAATAATGAAGTAGGCGTGAAATTTCCATTATGTTTTCTGAAAGCATATATATATATATATTATTGTATCATATTCGAAGAGCACTTATTAGTAAAGACGAGTGCGTGCGTTTATATGTATGATATCGCTGTTAACACTAAATACCGATGCGTTTGCTAAATACAATTTTAATTCTTCCCCCTATGATAGATAAAATGAAAATATATTGTAACGTCGATAATGAACTTCTACAATTCAATAAATTTTTTTTTTTTATCGTCGAATCGCCAGGATCGGGAGGGGAACGCTTTCGCTTTGCTTCCCTCCAATTCAATTTAATTTAAAATATATTGAAAAAAATGAAAACACCTTGTTTGCACAAACATACTGTGTTAGACTGAGGAACACAAACAAGCCCGGGCTATTTTTTTACCTGCTTTACGGCCTAATAGATTAATTTTTATATCAGCATTCTTTAGAGAAAAACTATTATAGTAACCATTCTCAATGGACCCGTTGGCGGTTAGATCAAGGGGTGGCTGTAGTACTTTTAATGTGTTGCAAAAAGTAGGACTAAAATCAGTCTGCCAAGATTTATAAATAACTATCGTTCATTATATCGTGGTGATAAGACATCAATGATAACAGTATTTTGAAAAAATATTGTTTTTAAATTCGATAAAATATATTAAATGTATTATTATTAATTTGTATAAAAGGTATATAAGTTTTAGCTATTTATTTGTATTAATTAACAACAATGCCTAGTTGTTTTATTTGTTCAACAATAGAGATTTTTTTTTTCTTTTATGTGGTCATACTAGTTTTATTCCTACTTTTTACTTCGCTCTTGCATACAAGCTAGTATAATATGTTAGTTCATCTCTTTATATTATTACTCTATGGGTTAGATCAACTGAATGAACACAAATAACAATATATGCTGTATTTGTAACTAAACTATAAATTATAATATCTTACTCTAATATCAAAAATATCAAAATGTTAACACACTGAAAATCACACTGAATCTTAAAACACAGTTATTTTAACAATCAGTGTGATTTTCAAGACAATTTTCTAATAGGGAATTACGCGGTACGATCAACAAACCATATCACGAAATTGCTTATGCCACGAAAATACCTTCCTTCACCCTACAAGCTTGTACAATTTTATGCTCGTTTGTAAGGGTTTTCATACTATATATGTGACTATAATATTGCACCTAATATAACATATATATAGGCTGTATAAATACCATCGCTAACGGTTTTTAATTTAACATCAATTTAGCCATAAGGGAACGAAATGTAATGTACTACACACATTGTACGCACACCTCGACCGGATGGTATAAGGAAACCAATATATATACTTGCACTTGGTGCTTCGGTAAGCACACATTTCCGTATTCAGGCTCCGCCCCGCCCACAGTTGCTATATTGTATGTGTAGAACACTGTACATGCTTACCACTAAACTTGCTGTATTTGTTTTCTGTGTATACACGCCGGCGACCGTCCTAGGCGACAAAGCATGAAATTAAAATCGAATTGAATCTCTTTTCTGGGCTCGGGGTGTAAACACAGTCTCTGTGAAATGGTGTCCCGTTACCGTACCAGCTCCTCTTCACACAGCTTTTGCGAGCACAACCGTCATATTTACCGCTGTATATTACATCCCCGGGCTATTTGCCGCCGACCCCTTTTGTCATTTTGCCTTTGAGACGCGAACGCTGTACATACATACGTCGTATTAATATTAATATTATTATTATTATTATTATTGCTATTGCTATTATCATCGTCGTCTAAAAAAAAAAAGTCTACAGCTGCAGGTGATGTGTACAGTGGTGGTAGAAACACTGGAGATAAGGCGGTGGCCACGGGTAAAGTAGCCTCGAGGTTATCTGTCGATAAAAAAATAATCACCTCGTGGGAGTTATTATGATAAATAGACCGACTTTGGAGCTGATAGTGGGCTCCGGTGTATATATGTAAGGATATACATATATATTATATGTTAAATAAATAAATCCCAACAGCCGTTTTGTGTGCCGCCGACACGATTCAATAAGTAAAAACCATCGGGCATAATATATATTTGTATTATATTCCATAGCCGTGTTTATCGTGTCATCGTTGTCGATCGTCCGCCGAACAATGGACAGAATAATCATTTTTGGAGGGTTGTCTTATAAAAAAAATAAATAAAGAGTGCATCCAAATGTTATTCTTTGTTTGTTTTGATTTTGTGATCTTAATGCTGCCTTGCGTCGCTCGCTTAAGGCGATAACCAATGCACGTTTTGTACTGCTATTGTGTTTTCGCCGATGTTTCAAGTGCGATAGGCCAAATCATCATCAACGAAAAAAAATGCATTTAATGTCTTCTCCGGTCGGCACCGTACAAGGATTACTTACAATGAGCAAGCCAAAACCGTTGTGAAGCTAAACAATTGACAATAATATAGTTTTGTGAAAACACGACGCGTATAATAATAATAATTTACTTGTTTTCGTCACTTTGATTGCGTTCCTGAGCATTGTAAATCACATAATACACCAGAATCAATAAATGGCTAATGATAAAAATCAGACGTTCTATACAGCCAACTCGACAATTAGAATTATTTGAAAAATCGGTCTAAAAACAATATTATGAAGATTAGGTTAGAAAGGAAACGTGTCAATAAATGTGAATCTTGCAACGTACCACCAGAAAAACCCATATAATTATAATGACCCAATTCATTTTATAAACTATTGTGAGTAATTTAAATGTGTTAGGTAAAATTACTGTCCGAACTTATAAACTAATACTTCAATTTTAGAGCTTTTACGGTCATTAAAATAAAACATGTACGACTAAAAATGTTGATACCTACTCGTTTTAATTATACCACTATAATATTATTAACCGTTGTGGACAGATATCAACTTGTTCACAATAAATTATGTGTTTTTTTATTGGATCATATGTTTTACTAGAAGAATAAGACATTTTGTTGGAATGTAGCCGATGGAAAATATAACATTTAGAGTTTAATGACTGTTCCTTTAAAGTTTAAACATTAATATAATTTAGTATTGTTAAACACCGTTAAACGTTACTTATGTATACAGTATAATCGATGAAAACTGAAGTTATTAATATTAATATTACTGTTTCACGACCTTATTCGAATAACTATGTAGATATTGTAATGTTATTTGGTCGGTTTTGCATCAGTCACAGTACATTCAGTATAATATTTTGTGCATCAGTGAGGCTTCCAATAAGTCTTAGTTTACTTATGCAACGTAAGGTTTCGGTAAACAAAGACGCCGCAGGCTATTCGGAATAGTGCTAATTTGTCATCCATAAAACAACATAGGTATATTATTTTGTTTAATACCGTCTACCGGTCACGGCAGCTATACAAACCGATCGATTTTTATTAATTCTTATTTTAAGATTCTTTAAACTAAAATTATCACAATTGTTTTGTCTAAATAGTTTTCAGTCTCATAAACCAGCAAGATACAATGATTAATTCTAACCGCAACAGAACGTTCGTGTCAGAAACTCGAAAGACAAAATATTGTACAAATAATGAGGTTAAGTCGAGAGTATGATAAGATTCATTGCGCATAAATATCATTTTCAAACATGTTCATGCTGTATTACCAGAAAAATAGAGACATTTTTTAATGACACGTTATAGTCTAATGGTAATTTCTTAGTTTTTGCATTATTTATAATGAACAGATACATTTAATCGGTATAATGCCATTATACGCATTTACGGTTGAATCCAAAAAAACATTTTTCGAGTCGTTTCCAAATGCAATATGGCAAACAGTGAGAGCGTTGAGCGTGTGAAATATTATGTAAAACGACTATTAAGTTTAGTGTGTGAACGTTAATGTCTTTATTAATCCTCACACGCGCCTCTTGACCTAGTACCAAGCGGTTGAACGGTATGATATAAAGTCAATAATGTGAGTTTTTTTTCTACTTATATTATTATTGTAAAATATTGCGGTAGTTTAAATGTGCAGCGGTGTCAACACTTATTATGTTTTATACGATTAAATATTATTGTACACAGTGGGTTAACAGACAATCATTATTGTGTAACCTATTAAAAGTAATCTACGTAATAAAAATAACTGTCATTGTTGTTTTCAATAAAGACAATTGGCTTTGGCTATTATAGAGTCATAGGCAAAAATACAGAATATTACAACTACTAATAAAGAGACAAACTAATAATTATAATAGTGTTAAGCCCAAGTCGATTACCAGTGCTGCGTTTAAAAAAAAACGCGGTTTCGTCGTCAAACGTAAGACTGTAAACAAAACACGTCATAATGTTATTTGAAAAGGGATTAAAAATATTTATGTAAGCCGACGTTGAACTGTAGTTGTTCTAACAGCTACAGAATATATGTGTACAAGCACTGCGACAGTGTGTTTGTTGTATACCTAACCTGTATTGCTAAGTACCCAAGTCGTATTGTCCCGAAAATTATGCAACGCCAAGATGACACCATTGTGTTCAATTTATAATACATATACCAATTAAACATATATATATATATGTATACCAAAAAGATGAAGCAATTGTTACTAATTTTAACAAAATGGTCATTTATTGATTAAAACGTTTTTTTTCTTATTATTCTAAAATAACACAGCACTTAAATAGATAAATAAATATCATGATAATATAACTATAAACTGACTTGTTGTTTTAAATATATATATATTATGTATGGATATACCTATAGAGGTATATTATATACATTTACAGAATATTAGATATTATGTACACGCAGCATAGAACAGCTATATGGTTTTATGCCGGAAATTCTATAATATAAATTACATGTTTAAATATTATATTAATTTCAAATTAAGTTTACACTACGCGTAATTTATAGTGTATACTGTATACCTAATCATCAAATTAAATATAATAATAATAATAAATATATTAACAGCTAAATCTAAAACGCTATAATTGCATGTATCGATAAAAACAATAAAATATAATAATAATAATAAATAGTGTAGTTGGTAACAATATTTTAAGTTATTTACAATAATAATAATAGTTTTAAGTATATTATTTAAATGAAAAAAAAACTTTATCAGAACGACAGTCGTTGTGTGTGTGTTAATATCCGATAAAAACAAAATTTGGACTAGATTCGACATATGTCCATGGTCGATGTCATAAATGTATTTCGCTTCTGAAAATTAAATTAAGAAATATTATTAATTATAATGTTAAGACAACACGAATTATATTCGTTATTATTAGGTGTTCAATAAAAGTTTTAATTAACTGTTTTATTATTTTATATAGTTCATGTTAATATTTAGATGAAATGTCAAACTAATAAGGTATATTATCTGATAATATTAATAACTTTGGAAGTATAATAGTAAGTATAGCTGGAAGTCTTGTATTGTATAAATATAATATAATATAATAATATAATAAGTATTGAATACATTTTCTATAATTGAATAATTTATTAAAAGTAGAGCTTTCGATCAGTAACACGGATTCGTGTTTTTGTGTAACGAATAGGTACACGTTTCACAAAACAACGGTTTAAGCTTTCACGATTAGGCATTTATGAAAAAATAAATAAACGGATGCCAAAGGAAATTATGAACTACACTAATCGGATACACGTAACTTCGTGTACTCCTAAAATAAGAGACTCTACTTAAAAGCAGAGGTGAGCATTGATACAACTTACAAGACAAAATATCTTGATACGAACTTCCTACAATGCACCTATAAAATTACATTTTTAATACACCTTGATCTTTTTATCATTTATGCATATTTTACAATGGTAATATCTGTTAATTATTTTGACATTCGATTGATTTAATATAGTTGAGACCAATTAAAACATTGATATTTGTCTCTGATTAAAAGTTACAATGATTTGCATAATCCTTATATTTAGTTGGGTATACATAGTGCAAAAATGTCGATGCTAATGATTTTGTTTGATCTTTTATAAAAGTTTATTATAAGAAACTATTTAAAAATAAATAATAACTACCTTTATCGACTTCGGCGATCATTACAATTGGACACCAGTCCAGTGGCACGTATATTAGTTATTGGATAAGTGGCGGCAGGAATGTCGGGTACCGTCGGCGATGGCCGTATCATCATCTAGCCCAAGTGGTTTGTTGAAGGGGCGTAAACGCGGAATCAAAACCGGATCTCGTAACGGCCGGAGGTGCCGGTAACGGTGACGGAGTGCCGGAAATCGTAATTCCGGTAGCCGTCGGGTCGTTTTCCGCGGCCACTTGCCCGGGGATGGCGACCGGACTGCTGGGTTCCGATCTTTTACCCATTATTGAATCGATGCTAAACCCGGTCGACGGCTGTTTTCCGACCAGCCGCCCGACCACGTTAGTCATCGGGTAAGACGACGGCGGTGCAGAGGTGACCGTCGGCTTGAACGGCGGCGGAGGAAGACCGACGGCCGCGGCCGCGGCTGCCACTTGTCCGTTATGCAGCAAGTTGAGGCCGAAAGTGATCCGCGCCAATTCGGAGGGCGGTAGCGGTAACGGCACGGCGGGCGGCAACGGCGGTGGCGGCGGCCCGAGATGGTGATAAGGGTAATGGTGGTGATGGTGCAGCACGGAATACGGGTCGGCCGCAAAGTGGTGGTGTTGCGGCCCGTTGGGGGCGCCGCCGTGATGGTGATGGTGGTGGTCTCGCATGCCGAAGAAGTCAGACGGCGTCTGCATCCGTTTGTAGCGTTTTCGGCGTCGTAAGAAACTGCCGTTGTCGAACATGTCCTCGGCCATGGGATCCAGCGTCCAGTAGTTGCCTTTGCCCGGGTTGCCGGGTTCTCGTGGTATTTTTATGAAGCAGTCGTTCAACGACAGGTTATGCCTGATGGAGTTCTGCCAGGCCGGAAACTTGTCCCTGTAGTATGGGAACCGGGACATTATGAACTCGCAGATACCGCTCAACGTGAGCTTCTTGTGCGGCGATTGCAAGATAGCCATAGTGATGAGCGCTATGTAACTGTAGGGCGGTTTCACCGGCGACCCGTTGGCGCCCGTCCCTTGTTCCTCTTTGCCGTCACAGTCGTCGTCTTCGTCGCCCGCTTTGCAATTATTGTTGGTGGCTGCCCTGCCGTTGAACATTTCGTCGTCGTCGTCCTCGTCGTCGTCGGCCGAGTCTACGTTCACGTCCGTCGTCTCGGCCGAACCCAGACTGCACGGCGGCGACGAAGAGGACGTCGGCGGCTGGTGTTGAGCCAAAGCGGCTGCGGCGGCGGCGGCCGCGGCGCCCATCAGCGTACTTCCACCCCTCAGGTCCAGCGGACTGCTGACCGCTTGGACAGCGTCCTGTAGGGCCGACTGGTACCGGCGGCTGAAGTCGTACACAGGCAGGAACACGTTGTGTCGATGATGCATGTCGTCCTGCTGCATCATAACGGTCGCGGCGCCGGTCACCACGCACATTTGACAACCGTTTCACACATAAAACGTTATCGGACAAGGGCTATGGCGTTAGTACTAATAATAAGTCTGGTGAACGTGTCCTATAACACCTGAACGCATTCAATACCGTTTATGCACAGAAATAATAACCCCGGAAAAAAAAATCACAGTACTATTTTGCGGTCACTATAGCGCACGACAAAAATAATTTTACCGGACGTTCCGTCGTGACGTGCGACTATGATACTGAACGCGACCGAAACGCAGACGGTGGCGGTACGGTACGGTCGACGTTGGGCGTGGCCGAAGATGGGTGGCTACCAACTTTATACGATGGGCGTGTGCGGTAAAACGCAAACGGTGGCGGTGGCGGCGGCGCCGACGGAGGACTGAACCTTTTGTGTGCGCCACTCATCCCTCGTGTCCGAGCCGCCGAGTTGTTTAATATATTATATACATACATATTATTATACCTATATAATATTATACACACTGCGATTGTGCTAACTAACCGGTGCAACCTCAATGTGGATTGTTGTTTGGGCTCACCGTTGCCGCGCCCTCATCCTCGTTCTCCCTTCTATCTCCGTTTCTCTAACTCTCTCTCTCCCACCCCCCTCTCCTTACTACAATGTTCATTCTGTCGTTATTTACTGCATCCGCCATAGATTATAATACAAACGCAAATAATTATACAACGCATCGTCTCACTCTTTCCTTCTCGGTTTTCGTGCGCTTCCCCTTTCTTGGTCTACCCCGCCGAGTAGGTACCTAAGCGTATTATAGGAATGGAACCCCCGGATCGAGCTTTGAAGTTGAAGTGTTTTGGCGTACTTGTACCCACCATGTCGACCATCAAAGGAAACCCTTGGCGACGTTAAAGCTTTTCTTCAAATCGTAACTAACAACTATTGTAGCCCGTAGGTACACAACGAAGTTATTATTTAGAACAGGAAATCTCATATATATATATATATATATATATATATATCACTCACTATGTTCACCCTCGAATTATTAACTATACCTACATACACCACGTTCTTACCAAAATTTTGTTATCTTCGTCATTATACATCGGACAGCGTTGAAAGTTATATCGGTATAAACTATATTGATTAAATTATTTAAATATGTTTAGTAGTTACGCAGTGAACATGTATCTACCTGCAACAAGCGTCTTTACCGTCTGGACAGCAAGCAGCGATAACGACGTCTTGCCAGAAGCACAACTCTCCCTAGTGGCACCACTACCAAGGCCTCTGTTAGCCCCCTGGCTTAGCCCCTTTTTTGAAAATACAGTTATTTAATTCAACATTTAAATAATTAAAGACGCACGTATGATATTAGAACGTACAGCATTTAAAGCGTTAATATTAAGGTTAACAAAGTAGTTCTATTCTCAAAAATTACACGAATAAAAAAATATATATATTTAAGAGGTAGACATTTTTTTAATTAAAATATTATACCTACCTTATCTAGTCAGCAGAAAAACTAAATGCTATGAGATAGTTTTATAACATTTAAAAATATTGTATAAACACAGACACGTTTTGTTAAAATTGGAATGATATAGTTTTATCTACTAACATTAGTAATTTATTTGGTATGAAAGAGAGTTATAATTAAATATTGTATTGCTCACAGCACAATACATTTTTGAATATAGGTAGGTACACGATAATTATGTGATTGTGAACTATCATTTGATCTTTTATCAGCATATACTGAAAGGGGTACCCTGTACTAGAATTATTTTATTTCTAAAATAAATATCTTCTAATTATTAGTAAATAGAATTTTTAATAGTTCCGGGAAAATAGGTTAACTAAATTAAAATGAGGTTCTTGTTGTCTTTATGACTTTTGCCTTAGGTATTCGATTACGTTCTTTGTCGGATAGATAAATTATATTTCTATTCATGGTAAAATGTCCATGTACCAAAAAATAAAAATCTTACTTTTAGACCTTAAAATTGCTTTCCTGAAGAATTTGAAAAGAATTAGATGGAACTTTTTTATTCCAAGGCGTCGATAAATTAACACTTAGGTAAACGAAGCAAATAATAATGAATTAAAACTAGACATAGGTAATAATATTATACGGTGCAACCCAAACGACTTCCATCCATTGTTTGTTTTTTTCTAAACGGCTCCCGTCGAAAAAGGTTTAATGAGTAGGTAAAGTCCCAAACGGCTCCAGTATTCGGTACTATGCGTATATTTCCCATAACATAATAAGTACAGATGCGACGCAGAAAACATTCGTGTCATAACTTACTTTTAAGTTCTATTGAATGGGATTAAACCACTTTTACCAATCTTATCACTTTTACCAAAGACCATTTTCCATTGTACACTTTTTCCCAATGACCCGCTTCTTATCAAGTCTCTTTAACTTTTCAAAAAAACTTCAACTAAATTTTAAACCTGTAACCTCCTCCTAAACTGTGTAGCCTACAAACCTAGGATATTTTTAGTTAGCGGAGCGCAGCAAGCGAGTGCCAAAACACTCGGAGTCCTGCCGTCTATGTCAGTTATCAATACGAATTCTGAATTTGGTAAAAGCGGTAGCAACCCCTATTAAATCTATTAAAGTTATTGAAAAAATGATAGACAATTTTTCGTTTTCTTTCTATAAAAAACTCGCTGACGAGAAGGAATTTGTGTTGTAAAAAACCGGAGCCGTTTGGGAATTTACCTGTTTGTAAAACGGGAGCCGAATGGGCTACATCCATATCATAGACAGGTAGATAAGGTGAGACAATTGTTTTTTTAAATGACATTCCTATATTATAACACATAACTTATACAGACAGGCAAAACATACCTACTGCTTATTAACATTCGTAAGTTACTTACAGGATACGTTTAGTTTGTTATAAATAAATACTTGAGCTACAATCCATTGTAGAATTTGTGAATTAAAACGCAATTAAAACATTTAACAATTTTTGGTAAAGTTGATTAGGTATGTATTTTTTTTTTTACTTATTATATTTAACCGTATGGATTAGGTAGTAATTATTCTATTTAACGTTTTAAATAAACTCTGACTTTGCTTTTTGCAACATTGTGTACGTGAAAACATGGATTGAAGTGGAGATGGAATAGTTGTAATATTTGTGTATTATATAGGATACGAGTAAATCCTTAGAAGAATTTCTGTAACGTCAGTGTTTTAATACGGAACGCCGAACGCGTATAAATATACTCAAACCAAAACGTTTACAAAGCACTTAGGCCTGTTTCTAATTATTATTAGAGCACTGATTTATAGCACTTGACAGAATAGCTTTAAAATATACACAGGCGTAACGTATTTTTTCTCCGTTTTCATGTCCGTCCCTCCCCGCGGTTCGACGGACGCGGTTGCCGCAGACGGACGGCGGTAAGATGTACACATGAAGCAATAAGATAATTTTAGAATATTATTAATTTTGATAGTTTACAAGCAGCTGTGTTTGCAAAATATATATACATACATTAAACCGTCGCGCGACAGTTGGTGTAACGCATAAACCGCCGCGTTAAAACATTATTGCATAAACATATCAATACTGGAATATATGTTTTGGCTGTATAGATGCTGATAATTAATCAATTTTATACGTGGGTAAGCATATGGACTAAAAAAAATGACCGACTGTAGTTTATTTGTTTAAACTATATTTACAATGTTTCATGTTATACTTTTATAGAGACTAAAACGTAGACATTCGAAGGGCTGCGCCGATAAACCGATCATATCATACTATGATCATACCATGGTAACCACGGTACTCGAGCGAATGGTAGGTGATGACTAAAGAAACAGGCCGATTCTATGTACAACGATTCTGGGGACGCTTTTTACTGTTGGAACGAGATCTGGGACCCTTGAGTTAGAGGGGGACATAATCAATATAATGTAATGTACATATGTAGATCTCAAAAGAAACTGAGACAGGGTATGTTAAAGCTTTACAGAGTAGGTACTATCTTTTTTATCTTATTTGTAATTATTTTACTCAGCCCTGGTAAACTAAATCCCGGGCAACGCCGGGTCGGGACAGCTAGTATAATATAAAATATAAATATTATTTTTTTGCTATCCGAGATTATTGTTGTGCGAGGAGCGACCATTGTTCGATAATTATATTAGACACATAATGCGGAACTTTTCATGTGAACAATAGGTTTTGCCTCTTGGCGTCATGCTTTCATAGAGAAATTGATTTATAGAGAATAAAAAAAACCAGCCTAACGATATGGACCGACTGGCCACGTCGGCTGTGCGGTATACGACTGCGCTGACAAAAAGCATTGACATTCCGTTTCCGGCTGTAGAGATGTACGGATAATACACATTGCCGTTATATACAATTTAAATAACACAAGAAGACGGATATACACTGTATAACGTAGGCAAGTGTGGCAGTAAGGAAATCACAGTTGATCCGGGCGAGCACATAATATAATAAATGTGTACAGAGACGGAGAGAGAGAGACAGATACAAAGAGAAAAAGAAAGAGAGAGAGATTTGACATGGTGGTTTTGGCCGGTGGTTGTGCGAGACCTTTTGGCTACCCGATCATTTTTCTTAAGCTTCAATTTGTACACATTTGCTGCAATAGTCTGATTAACCGTTTCGAAAGGCAACGACGACGTTGGCGGCGGCAGTGGAACAACACAAGAATGAGAGTAAACCGCGCCCCCCGACGGGTCACAGTCAGCCAATGGTCGGTGGTTACATTGTATCGGCCGGCCCTGTTGGCATATTATTATTATCATGTGCTGCTAAACGTACATAGCTGTTTGTTGAAATCACCATACGCACCCGCGCTCTCCAAAAGTCGCTCGACCGTTTAACCGGCAACCGCAAACGTCCGTATGGGTACGTTAATAACAGTCGGAGAACAAGTGCCCGATTTAGTGTACCTATCTTAATCTTTGAATATCTACACTAAACACGTCCGTGTATTGTTTCAATAATATATACGTCTTGACTTATTTTAACATTAAAAATATTATAATCGTAGGCGCAACTGGCCTACATTTTTGGGGGTGCTAAAACTATATACCTGTATATACTGTATACCCGACTAATCATAATTCTTACCTTCAATTTTCAAACTATTAAATACAATATTAAACATTTGAAAACATTATTAAAATTTTATGCGTACAAATCAAGGATTGGGCTTGAATTTTTGGAAGTGCTAATTTTGAGTCTGGGGGTGCTAA